CTCCGAGGTGACGGCCTGCTGCGGCGTGGATGGGTCCTGCTCGATGCGGCTGAGGAGTCGGGTACGGACTTCTGCATCCTTCGGGGATTGTACACCGCATATGAAAATCAGCGACTTGAACTGACCTTCCGTTAACGGTCCGAGGTTGAACCGTTCACATTCCCGGTTCACGATGGCAGAATGTGTGAAGAAGTAGTCTGCATCACTCTTCACTAGCTTCATGCATCGATAACGGATGTTGAAAAGTGACGTTTGCTCACCGAATATTTGTAAAAGCGTGTGGACCGTTTCATCAAAAGTGAAATCGCGCAGGTACTTTGGCAGAATAAAGTTAGCGTACTTATCAGGCTCCGCGGGTCCAAGTTTGCGGAGCAGGAGGCGAACCTTTCAACTATTACATGAAGTGAAAAATCGACCCTGAACAGGTCTTCAGAGCGGCGGAACCAAGCACCAAACGTTATGCCAGCTGAGGGTTCATAGCAGAATTCGTTGATACTGCCAGCGATTCCATCAACCGAATGTGGAACGCTCGACGCAGCCTGTGAAGATATAGTTGATAGTCGCTCCGTGAGTAACTTGATGAGTTGCAGTTGTTGCTCAAACATTACTTTGAGTTGTTCTGCCTCCATTTGCTTCACCAAGTATGTTGTGGTTCGGTCACGCAGCGAGCAAACAATATGATATGCGGATTGTGGCAATACTCTATCCTCAGTTATGTTGCCTGATCCAGACTCCTAGCACGGCGGATAGTAAGAAGGCGAAAAACCTCGGACAGAAAACTTTAATGATCCAAAAACACGCGATCAACAGGCGATGCCCCGAGCTTCTGAACCCAAGTCAGTAAAAAGATGATATCGTGTGAGTAAGTCGGATTTAAATTTCTTGGAATATCAACAGGCCATTGATTTATTCATAGTTTGACCTTGAAGATGCCGGAAGTTCGCTAGCACACAAAAAATACAGCGCTTTTGGGGATATTGAGATCCCCAACAGAACGATTCTGAACACATTTTCAATGACAATGGATTGAGTCCGATGGATATCACACATGGCTTATTGGGACAGAGAAACGCATAGTACTGGCTGGTACATCGAAAACATAAGGCTGCTCTCTGTTTCCGCAGACACTCCTGCCATCTCTCGCTCGTTGAATTCAGTTTCAAAGCTTAAGTTAGAAGAACCCTCGGAAGTTGGCTTAAAGATACGAGGACGTTTCCCAACACGCTTCATCAAGTTTGCTGACGTACGGAAGGCTCAGTTACTTCCGTGATAGCCGATGACTCTTGTAAATTATTGCCTCGTAAACTCCATATACAACCCTATACTTCGATCATGGTTTGGCGGCGACAAACGTTCTAAGATACTGAAGCTTGCTTTGCGCAAATTGGCACGGTCAATGAAGATAATGATCGCTTTCAGTTATCACCAAACCTGACGATCGATTTTAGTATTTCGTTTTTGTGGCCGCTTCTGAATTACCATAGCGAGCCACTGGAACCGACCGAAGCCCGGCAGTTGACAATTCCCAAACTGCATCGCACGTTGACTTGATCTTCAGTGGCATGAACCTAAAATGATCCGGGTTGGGAAAGTCCTACAGAACAAGTTGACCAATTTCCTTGCTCCATTGGAGCCGTGGAACACCATCACTGAAGGGAAAATGTTGGGGCAACCCAACCCCCCACGTCTTTGCGGCGAGTAACCATGGGGAGCGAAACGGTATTGTTTTCTTCGGGTACGACAAAGGGAGAGTGTTTGTCTCGAATAGCTGTATGATAAGACTTCTCAAGGGGTTTGAGAAAGACGCTAAAGTCGTTCCGAGGGACGGAGATATCCACAGCATGCTATGATCGAGAGAATTGCTGCATAGTATCTTTAGGTGATCAGCACAAATGAACACCGTGAGCACACAACGAGATAAATAACTGGAGATGATTTTGATCTCTAGATCCGCCTCCGCAACACTCTTGCTATAGATTTGAAGGTGGGGCTTCCGTGTGTGTGTATGCCGAGCTGACAAGCGTCTAAATCACGGGTTTCTTCATCCCTAGTCCGTTTTGAACGGTTTATCGAAGGCACGGAAGGAGTAGAGGGAAACTGCTTTGTCACGGGTTTTCTCGGGTTTTCTTTGAAGTTGAGGGATATAGGGAGTTTGAAGTGTCAGTTTAGGGCTTTGGTAGGTTTTTACCTGGGAGCGGAACAGGCAAACATGTATAAATTGTTTTCGATGGTGACCAGATGCTTCTTCGGAGCATGAGATACCGTGGCTGCTGGTATGACTAAGTAAACTTCAGCGTCGGAACAGATCAAGTTCATGTGTTTTCTGAGCTGATCGACGTAGCAGCATGGTTGAGTTAGATTTAAACCTTCTGCAACTGAGATAGTCCTAGGCCAAGGACGATTATTCCGACCAATCAATAAGTTTCGGCTTCATTTAGATCGCACATCTAGGATCATAATTGATTTTAGTGTCTGTGGATGCATTTGAATTTTTGAAAGAAATCTAAGCCGTTTCATGTGCCACCTGGCCTACAGATGTGAAAGCCTGAAAGCACGGGTAGTCCTATTTACTCAGAATATGCTGGGTGCCGGTGTCATTCGAAGAGTTCCGATTGAATTTTCACAGCGCCGCGTTCAATTCGCTGGGACTTTCCGGAAATATGGTAGGTCAGAATGTAACATTAAGGCTGAAAAGTGAGCGTGAGATTACAAGATAGCGTAGAGCTACAAGGGGCTTGGACGTTTCGGTTTGATTT